GTTTATGCCAACATTGCTGACCTCAGCCCACACGTTGAGTAGCAGGAACTTAGATTCAAGCATTGCCTCAATAAACACCTATATCCCATAATGTGGCCACAGTTGTCTTTTACACACTATCTCTAGCATATCCACCATTGGTTGTAACCTTCTAGCACAAGGGATTTCTCATCTGAACATATATATCCCCATCCCCATGTTTTTAACAAAATATTCTCTTAATCTAAATTAAAGCACATTCACCTACCAAGCTGTGTCTGTCAAAATCCTACCTTTTAATTCAGGCTTAACCAACAAATTCTACTTTTTAAAAAAATTTTACTTGATTATTTCATGTTAGGCATAATCTCTCCTGTATTTTATACCTTTTTTTTTAACAAGTCTTATAGTGTTCTGTATTAAGTTATCCAGTTACACGATTAGTCCCCAACATAGTTTGAGTTCCCAAAGATGGATTTATCTGTTTCCCACAGATCTTGGTCTTTACCCCACTTTTTTAGCCAGTTCTTGACTCATAGTATTGGTTTAATTAAACCAGGAAGGACCAGGTGAAGATTATTTTGATTAATGAAGCAGGAGGGTCTGATTAGTCATGCAATATGACTCTGTTCAGGGAGGCCAGAAGCATTATTTTAATTGGGAGCACACCAGAGCTATCTCTAGGAAACAGGAGACACCCAGACAGTTAAAGGCCATTGGCAGCCATGAAAGGATTTAGCAGCTGAAGTGGAAGAAACAAAAAGTTTTTTAGCTGTGAACAAAATAATTCCCTGAAGCTCTTCTGCCTACAAACAATCCTTGAGCCCTGCTATCAACATTACAAAACAAGTTGTTAAAAAACATTCTGGGACAGAGGAAATAAAACCCCAAAGGATACAGATTATTTTTGAATTGCTAAGGAAGAAACAGTAAGATGCAAAGGAAACTGGCATGTATATGAATTTGCAGTCCTTTTTGACCAAGGAAATGAGATTGCTTTTATGTAAATCACTATAATACATTCAATCTGAAAGTTAGAACTTCTCTTTATAATCAGCCAGCAGTCAATTGAGACACCCATGTAACTATCTAACTTAATCAAGATGGATAAGGTAGCCAGATGGTTCTCCCCAGATTCTAGATTTTGCTGTTATAGAGAATATGGCCACAGTCTGAACTTTGGATAAGAATTTTTAAACTTGAAAAATATATCAAAAAACTGAAAAGATGAAGAAAGGACAAATACCATGCAATTCTGATCCATTTTTATTTTAATTATCAGGGCTGTGTTAATTTTTTAATTTTTGTCTTCTTACTTTATTTGCATCCAATTAATATTTTAAATCCTCCCTATGTAGTAGTAACCTCTTTCTCTTTATCATTTTTCTTTGTTGCCCTAATGTTTGTGGGCTTTAGTATTTGAGTAGGTATTTTTAGGTCATTGAAACCAGATATTACTTTCTTTATTTGTAAAAAATAAGATTGGATTAAATAATTTTCACAGTGTCTTTAATATTTGGAAACCCATAATGCAGTGATTCTATAAATAATCATGAGATCAGGTTTTTGAAATTTTTTAAAGGTTATTGAGAGAAAAGGATAGGAAGTTTTTAACATTTTCTTCACAACATCATTTAGAAATGCATGGCACAAATGTGAATTTGAATGTTTTTAATGTTTTAATGTGAATTTGAATGTGATGACAGGAGTTGCGGTAGAATTGGCCAGCAACTGTAGGGAAAGAAAGAACTATTATACAGTGTACCCAAAAAGAAACCCCACGCCCTGCCCCCTAGTCCTGGAATGATGCAGAAGACGGTAGTTCTTGTGACTCACTGTGCAGTGGAAAGATGGCGCAGAGCAGGCGGGAGCTGTGGGCTCCCAGCGTGTTGCAGGCAATGTGGTGGCCAGGGCTGGAGAGGGCTTTGCTGGACTGGACCGGTGGCCACTGTCAGAGACAGGTGGCCCCTCTCTGAGGGTGTCCTACAGAGAGGGTTGAAGTAAAGCTGACCATTCCTCCAAATAACCCAAGTGAACTGATAGACAGAAAAAGAAGACAGAAGGGGAGGAAAGGAGGGAGGGAGGGAGGGAGGAAGAAAAAGAGAGAGAAGAAGATAAAGAGAGAGGTAGGGGACAAAGAAGGAACAAAGTTCAAAGAAGGAAGCAATTAGGAAAGACAAAATGGAAGGAAGAAAGGAAGGAAGGAGAATGCACAAGATAATTGAAGTGATTTAATCTACTTTAGCAATTAAAGACTGAAAAATCCTGTGATATAAAAGTTTAACTCTTATAATCTTTAAATTGGTAACTGATTTAACTACCAAACCCATTTTTTCATGGCATATCTATTAATTAATGGGATGCGATTTAGGGAATGCTGGTGTAGACAAGTCAAGAGTAGGCATGGTAGGAAGGGAGTGTTAATTCGTTGTGAGAATATTTAAATTTATAGTGATTCTTAGGAATATTTTGGGGTTATTTCAATGCTATGATTAGAGCAAATTTGTGGCCAAATAATGTCCACGTTTTGGGGAACTTGTTGGCTATACACACTCACTCCTGTTGTTAGAGTCCTCTCTCTCCATTTTTTACCTCTACAGAAACCTCACTATGTCTATGTTTTATATAAAATTGTGTACACTGTTTATTTACTAAGCACAGGTGTGTACTTTTTAATAATTAAAAATATATACTTTTAAGAAAAAGCATAAGTAAAAATCATAGTTAACCTAGTACTTGACAATGGCAGGATGGCAGGTGTTCCATGAGGATTAAATGATTTGCTTCCTGTAGGTTATTTAACAGTCTGTGTGCAGGTGTCAGTCAGCGGAAATATTTATCCAAACAAATCTTAAATGCTTCCAATAAAATTATTTGTTGATTACCTTGGGATGCCCTATTCTCTAATGAGGTGTTGGCTGGGAAGGACACAGTTCATGAGTCCTAAACCTCTCCTAGACCATGTTAAACAAAGTATATACCTTTCTTTTACGTTCTCTGCATGCATGAAATGTTTTACTTAGGACTTAGGTTCATACGGTGCTTCTTCAATTTATAAGGACTAGTGACATTATAGAAACTGCTTGTTATATCCTGCATCTTCCATAGACATCTTTAACTCCTTTCTATTAAGATTTTTAAACTATGCTAAATTCTAATACTATTAAAAATCTGTTATTCCATGGGGAATGAAAAAATAGAAAGAAAATGGTAGACTATGATTTGTTTAGGAAATGCTGATGGGAAGGATTGTGTGGGAAAAAATAGATAAAACTCTTAAAAGGAACAGAGTTTGTTAATGATCTATATCACTCTTTGCCGGTACTCTACAGATATATCAGGAAGAACTCTATTTTGACTTTCAAATACCTGGCTTTGACCAGGATAATAGGCAAGTGGCATGTTAAGAGAAGTAATTCTTTGGATTATAAAATTTAACTTTATACGTGCAGCTTGGAGATTGATGAAGAGAGCCCTCATTACCCCGGCCTTGAGGAAATGCTGTTTTATTTTGTTTCATCTATATTTGCTTAACCCATTATTATAAGCTTAATTCAATTTATTACATATTTCCTTGCCTGCTATGTACTTTGCTGAGTAGGCATGCAAGACAAGATGAAGAAATATAGTTGCATAAGAAAACATTATCGACCCAATCCACATGGTTAAACACCTCAACAATGGAATTGTTCTTTTAATCAGTCAACCCATCTCTTCTTTCATCCCCAAACAGGGCATCCTCTCTGTTTACCCAGGGATTGTTTACTTGTTTACCATCCAAAAAGAGAAAGGGCAAATTCTTGCCTAAAGGAGAGCCACATGGCTAAAAACAGAAAAAGAAAAATGAGAAATGTGGGGTGTGGTGGAGTGTCCTAAATAATGATGTGTTACGTTTGCTTATAGTGTTAAACTTTTTTATGATGCCAGCGGAACTTTCTGAAATCTTTTGCAATGGACTTAAATTTCTGTTTTAATCAAGAATCCTCATAGTTCATCTTTTAAACCCACTGCACATTTTCTCTTCAGAGTATGTCATTGATCTTTCACCGCATCTTGCATTGGGTTGCCTCCTTCTCTCTACTTACCCAAATATGCCCATTGAAAGCATTCCTGGACTATTGCATCTGAAAGAGAAAACTTCCTTTTAATTCATATAATGCTTAGCTGTTAGTCCCAATGAGAAAAGTAGTGTGAAAAGAAAAAAAAAAGAAAATCATGGACAAGATATTCAGATATCTCATTATTTACCAGATATGCAACCTTGGATCAATCTAGTGACCTCTTATAACCCCTTCTGTCCTCATCCTTAAAATAGAGTGAGTAATATCTATGTTACATCTCAAGCATGTTGTCAGGATAAAATGATGTCATGTTTGTGTAATGTTTTGTATATGGTAACTGATTTTACCTAAGCAGTGTTTCTACCAAATTCAGCTATGATGATTTATCTTCTGGTGATCATAATATTCTTTCATGTATGTTTTTCTTATTACTTTGACCCAATTAAAAGCATATTTACTTTTTCTGTTGGGGAAAGCAGTAAATGTTTATTACAGATAATGTTCAAAGTTCATACAAGTATAAAAATTAAAATCAAATGTAATATAAACTAGAAAAAACCACTAAACCAAGAGATAGCTACATTAACATTTTAATTACATGCTTTCTGTATATCACGATTGTATATATGTAGGTAAATAGGTGTATTTTTGTAAACTGCTTTGTTTAACTTATCACATATCCTAAGCATGTTCTTATTTCCCAATTCTATTTTCACTCTTCAAGAACTGCCATAGTATTTTGACTTTGGTTGTGTCTCATTAAGCACATAACACTGCGTCTTGGATATAAAAAGTGTTCAATAAGTGGACTTCATTCATAGAATAACTTAAAGCACTTTGTTTAAATACATACTTATTTGAAAGAGAACCTCTGTCTTTAAAGACTGCTGTGTTCTTATTGATGAAGTGAAGCTATTACATGTGTCACTGACATTTTTCATTTCCTTTCCTTCCTTTTAGTTCGTTGCCCAGCCCAATTGTCAACAGCTGCTTGCGTCCCGCTGGTATGATGAGTTCCCGGGCTGGAGGAGAAGACACTGGGCAGTGAAGATGGTGACATGTTTCATAATAGGACTTCTTTTCCCTGTCTTCTCTGTGTGCTACCTGATAGCTCCCAAAAGCCCACTTGGACTGTTCATCAGAAAGCCATTTATCAAGTTTATCTGCCACACAGCCTCCTATTTGACTTTTTTGTTCCTGCTGCTGCTTGCCTCTCAGCACATCGACAGGTCAGACTTGAACAGGCAAGGTCCACCACCAACCATCGTCGAGTGGATGATATTACCGTGGGTCCTGGGTAAATGTGTTACTATAGAAAATATAATAAAAACGTGTTACTGCCATGGAATTTTGCTGCTCAGAAAATAATATTCATTAATGCTTGGGACACGGGAATGTTTAAAATAGGTTCTGACCATTGTAGCTCTAACACCTAATCGTCAAAGCTAAATAAATATTTTGTAATCTGTGGTAGACCTGCTCCCAAATGCAGGCTATGAAATGTAACTTAAGTTTTAGAATTCCAGATTTTAATGACTTTCTTGCCCACAAATGATTCCCTGGGTTTGTTCATTTGTTCCCCAGGATTGCTTGTTTGTCTTTTAAAACTTTTTTTAATGTGTCTCATTAGCCATGGGTAATCATTCTAATTCTCTTAATAGATATGTCTCCTAACAGACAAGTACAAATCACTCAAAGAATTAGTGATTCTATACAGAAAGTAACCACAACCATTTTTAAAAGTCAATCCATTTATGTTTATCTTTGAAATTCTGTGGTATGTCAGAATAATAAGAAATGAAATAATAGAGCATCTTCCAATATCTCTCTGCTCTTATCATAAAAAGAAAACTGTTTTGGACTTGCAGCAGATCATTCTAAGGTAGAAAACCTTTAAGTAGTTCCTGAAAGCCTTGTTTTCCTTTCTTCTTGTTATTGTAACCATGGTTAAAATTTACATTTTAATTATTCCTTCCTCCATCCTGTTGTGGTTTGCTGAGAAATCACATTTTCTCAATTTAGCTCATCATTTTGAACCTCTCTGGTATCATATCCATCTCATCATTTAGTAATTAGAAAATATGTGACAAATTTTATGATTCACAATCTCAGAAGACCAGTTTGGATTAACTATAATACTGCTGGAGAGACTATAAAATGAGGGCAAGTCAGGGAAAAAATGATTGTCTGACCCAAGATAGATCCACTTTTCAATTTTAAAAATTATAAATACTCTAAGTAGCAGCAATAAAAAATTTCATAGGGACAAGATTTGATATGTTTTACATGTTATTAAAAAATTTAAAAGAACACCTTCTTAAGTGTAGTTTCTAACTAATCTGAGGTGCATGAAGGGTGACCTTGCTTAAATTAGAAGGAAGTTTTAGATAATCCATGTGTCCTTTTGAATAGAATAATTATGACATTGCAGTCTACATTAAGGTTAAAATTAACTGTCTGTCTTCACTTAAATTTAATGTCTTACATGAGGAATATGTTCGTTTTGAGAGTTTTATTTATAAAAAAATTCGTCAGGACAATTCTTAACAGAAGAGTTAGGGAGTTAAGTTTCCAATTTTGAACAACTTACAATGAATGTCTAAAACTCCTGATGTCCCACAGGAAATGTAGAACACTTTATTTTGAAAAATACTATAGATACAATGCAGCATAAGCAGATATAGGATTTCTATAGTCTTCCCTTTATGCAATCAATGAAAATGCATCAAATACTTTCTGTGCAGCAAGGGCAGTGCAGGGTTATAATGTGATATAAAAGTAAAAAACAACAAAAACAAACAAAAAAGCCCCTGCCCATATGAAGCTTAAATTTTACTGGAGGAAATACATAATAAACAAATAGATATGAGATATAATGCCAGGATAAATAAGATAAACAAACAGAATCCCCAAACTTTAAGTAACTTGTACGATTAAAATATTGGCTGCCTCCAATGTGTAAAACTTAGAATATTTCTTGAAAGTTGGCCATAAGAAGCTAAACCCAAATGACATGGTGAAATAAGGTATAGATTTAATTTTGATAACTATAATTCCAGCAGAGAAATATCTGCTAAAGGCAACATTTTCTCAAGATATCCTGATTACATGGAGTTAATTTATCTGGGAATTTTTAGGATGAAAAGATATTTCCTAGGATAAAAAAGAATGCATGTAAATGATCATCTTGCTTAAATAATAGGTCAGGAGGAGAAAGAGTGTTTGTATTTCAAATAGATCTGTCAAAACAGGTATATTGTTCATCAAGTCTGGTGAATTGTGAGTGCCTCGTCTCTAAGACTGAGTTCTAAGTGCCTCACTAGATCCGTGATTATAAGGGGTGTGCTCCGTGTTATTGGGCTATTGTGGAAAAAGCACTGGACTTGAATACATGCACTCGGGTTCTACTGCTAAGATACTGTAGAATTATGGGTGACATGTCTTCATCTATAAAATGAAAAATTTAGAGTGGATGACTATCTAAAGTTCCACTGAGCCCTATTATCCTGCCTGCTGAGCTACCATTATTAGGGTAGAGAAAATTGGTCTTTTTTGGGGGTGGAGGGTGGCCAAAGACATCAGGGTAGAAATGCTTTAACCTTTTACTGAAAGTTTGATGTGGGCAAAACAGCATGGTCTTTGATGCCTTCATTAATGAATCTTGTATGTTTTCTTACCCAGTCCTTGCTATCTGATAAAGTAAGTGACCACAGTTCATTAACAGGACATTTCATAGTTCATTCATTGTAAGGTTCTACATTTCTAACAACAAGATTGAATGACTTACGGAAAAGGATATGGCTCATAAGCGTGTCCCTCACTATGTTAATTTTTACAATGGTAGATTGGAACTCTGTTCATGGGTCTTTCTCAAGTCCTCTTGACCTGACTTAGATTTTCTTTTTTTTTTTTTTTTTAAAGATGACCGGTAAGGGGATCCTAACCCTTGACTTGGTGATGTCAGCACCACGCTCTCCCAAGTGAGCGAACCGGCCATACCTATATAGGGATCCAAACCCCTGGCCTTGGTGTTATCAGCACCACACTCTCCCAAGTGAGCCATGGGCCGGCCCTTGACTTAGATTTTCAAGACTGTGATACCTTGAGAGAAGTGCTCACTTGTATACCTCTCATTTTGTTTATCCTAACAAAAAGACTTTTGCTCTATCTGTTCTATATATTTATATCACAAATTTTCACTTTTTCTTGCAAGAAATCCTCCCTAATTTTAAAGTCTATCCTTTCAAATCCCTTCTTCTTCTTAAGAAGTATGGTTTTGCTTGGGAATTTCTGTTACTTTATACACTTTGCTATGCTTCATCAATAAGAATGGTATTTAGCCTTACAGATCCAGATATCTTGTGATTTAATACAAGGCACAATAATGTTTCCATGTTATTTTCGGTATCTTTTCTGTTGAAGTTCAACATTTTGTTGACTATTAAAATTGAAATCTATTGAGTTTTATATTTTAGAAAACAGTACATAATGGCACTTTTATCACTCCGCAGTGGTACCATTCATAAGTTGTAACTCATCATCCTGCAAAGCTTTTTGAATCATTGTCACTTTAGACTTGCTTGTAGTGAAAGTTATCAACCCTTCTTTTCTCCAACCAAACAGCCTCAAGAGATCTTGCAGATGTTTGCTGTCAGGATCAACTTTAACATATACGTAAAGAAATCCAAAAGCTTCACACAGGATTCAAACTTATGATTTTGGTCATCTAGACATGCAGTTCTAACCAATGGGGAAAATTCATCATGGATAATTCAGTTAGAATTCTTTCAATCGATAAATAGATTCTAGACAGATAGGTACCAGTATACTTCTCAGACTGTCAGATTACCCATTAAAGCTAGAGTAAAAAGTAAAACAACGGTTTAATCAAATATTAATATGGGCTTGATAATAGAGCTATACTTTTGAAGAGCCTAGAGAAGAAGTGTCACAGGAAAGACTGAATGATGGATTAGCAGGAGCCCTGGCCAGAAGATCAGGGACCCGGGTACTTCTGTGTTCTGCTGTGCCATGGCTCTGAGGCTCTTAAATTATTTGGGGATTGATTTTTAATATACAGCACTAGGGGTATGAAATTAATAGAATATTCCTATGAGAAATTCCTTTTTACAAACAATTTACATGCAAACTAAATAAAGCATGTTATACATATAATGTATATTATGCAAATTAATCTAAATTATAGCAGCAGTTTTATCTCAAATAGATGTCATTTGTTTCTGGAAATAATATGCAGTAAAACACAAAAAAAAACAAAAACAAAACCAAAAAACTTTGGATGCTACTCTTCAGACCTTCCCAAAACCCAGTTTGCATTTTTCCTTAGAATCCATTATAATTCAGTTGTAACAACCAAATTTGGGTCACAGCTTATCTTCCTGTGCAAAAAGTATACATATATTTACAATTTCCAGATGTAGACTTATGTAATCAGCTTAGCAAAAAACTTATGAAATTGATGGCATTTTTCATAAAAGTAGAACTTGAATGAAGGCTTTCATATTACTAAAGCAGGAAAGACTTTGTTCCCCGTGAGAAAACAAAGTGGCTGCTGAAGTGACTTGGCATTACTTGTGTGCCTCAGAATATGCACAATTAAACAGTATGGAAATCTGTGCACACAGAGCATGATGATGGGAAGGGTGAACTGAGGAAAAGATGCATCATAGGAAGAGATCTAAGCTCCGTTAAAAATAGCTCGTATTGAATTCATAGGCATAAACTAAGAATTGCTCATCGCATCCAGATTATACATCTCGCCTCTAACACATACTTATTTAGCAACTTTAACAAAATTGGCCCCTCATTTCCATGATTTATTTTATATTTTTATATTTTATAAAGTTGATATTAACAAGTCTAAAAATTTCAATAAGGACTGCCAAATTGAAGATGTAAAATGAAAAATGATCGCATTTGTATCTACGTAAAAGTTCATAGAGTTCATAGAGACAGGCACTCCTATGTATCAGTAAATTCTTCCCTTATTGTGACCATTTCTTAATCTCTTGTCTAATAGTCATTATGATCATACAGCTTCACATACTCATACTTTCAACCTCACCTCTGAATTATTCATCCCCCCAAAACAAACAGCCCTAAAAGACATTCTTGCAATTATAAGAAACGAGCCTACAGCTTTTCCCCACTCCCTCTCTTGGCATGGCGCTAAAATAATTTCAGCAAACTAGCTGCAGACACATTCAGATGCCCAAACATAGCTACAGAACATTCATTTATTAATTTAAAAGGGATGTTTTAATTTTCAAGGAAACC